ATTTTCCTCCGATGAATATTGAAGATTCAATTGTGGAAAAAAGTATCTCTTGAAGAAAAAAAATATTCTTGAAGAAAAAAAATATTCTTGAAGAAAAGGGCACCTTGAAGGATTGTGATGAAAGGATATTTCTTCATTATGAAGTCCAAAAATGACTAAAAGATGAATATTCAATAATGAATGATTCATTGGAATCATGGAATTGTTTTGAAGAAAGATAATCATTAAACAAAAGTTGCAATGGATCCATTTATTACTTGAGTATGAATTCACAAATATTTTGAACTACTTCATGCAGAGAAAAATTATTATTGATGAAAACATTTAAGACACATTCTTCCTTTCATGCCTCAAATATGCTCCCAAAGTAGCAATCTTGAGCAAGTAATTTCAACATGTATATTCAAAGCAAATACATGTCTTTTTGTTGCCAACAACATTATGAATTGATAAAAAATCATTGATCACAACCATTCATTTGATTCCATTTTTAGAAGAGAATGTGACATCGTATTATAATCATGGTTATGAATATGGTCATAAAATGAAAAGATTTGTAAAATAAGTTGGCAACATATTTGAGATTTTTTATTATAGAAGTGACATGAATGAATATTGGTCGCCTATCTTTAGTATATCCAAGCAATTTATGTGCTTATCATATATTTCCAAATATTTGCTGGATTTGTTCCAAGAGTTATCCAATGAGAAGTGAAAATCTGCAAAAACATATTTTGTGAAAAACAATATAGATATGAGCTTGTGATATTTGTGATACATAATTTTATTGTAACTTTGGATATATTATATTCATTTTGAGAATATTGAGAAAAGGTATCTCAAATATTTAAGAAGTTAAATATATGTCTCAATGTGGCGATTGTGAATTAAAAGGAGAATTCTTTGAGATTAAGTTTCCTTAATAAGAATTTATTTCCATGAGAAGATGAGATGCAAGAATACATCTATGAGTGGATATAAATTTTATAATAATATTTCTTATATAGGGAATTTATATCCCAAATTTTGAAGTTCATATTAATCTCATTTAATATCTCTCAATATGAAAGTTATCTAGTGATGGAGAAATATTTTGAAAAAATGCATCCTTATTATAGTGATAAAATCACGGATAAAAAGTTAAAATTGTGTAAAGTATTACTATCACAAAATGAATGTATAATGGTGCCTCTATGATAAGGAAAATATGGTATACATGCACTCATATTATACAAAATGTATAATAGCAGAATAAAACTTGACAAATTTTGTGTCATGTTTTAATGTGCAAAAGGTTGTACCATGATAAAATATTTGAAAAAAAACTTTTCCCAATTACACTTAACTTGAAGCTAATGTAATATTTCATGTTACGAGCTCGATTGAAAAGTTCAAAGAGCTTGTATATCATTTACTATTGAAACCTCTTAAAAGGTTTGAATTTTGTAGCTTTGAGAAGCAAAATTTTAAATATGTAACTAGTTATATCTTAATAAATTATATTGGAATATACTAAACTTTAAAGGCATAAACATATAATGGTTATCATATTGAAACCATGAATGAGGAAAGTACAATATGCCCCCATGCCACATCTCTTATGTGGCCAAAAAGCACATGTTTGAAAAGTTTTTTCTTCTAAATTACATACATAAATCTAATAGGATCAAACATTGTGGGTAACCATAAAGTGAATCCTAGAATGATTTGGGCCTAAGTAACTTGGCTATCAAGTGATTTTCATGTGTTGCATTCCCCTATGAACATGATTACAAAGCCTTTTACAAATACAATTGAAATATAATCTTCTTCATTATTATATTGAATTCAAGGAGACATATAACCTTATGCTCAATTATTTGAAATATATTTTGATATATTATGACATTAATATATGCTTGAATATAAAGGTAACAAAATAGTCTCTTAAGTAATATGAAATATTGTGTTGAGAGTATATCTGGTTTAATAATTCTAAAAAAAAGGCTAGAAGTTTATATGGGTTGACTGTGGATCTTTTTATAACAAAATTT